GAAGCCTGCTTCTCCCTCTCCCACTCCCCCTGCTTGTGTTCCTGCTCTCGCTGTCTCTCTCTCTGTCAAATAAATAAAACCTTTAAAAAAAAAAAAAGTGTGAAGCCCTTTGTCTCATGGCCAAGGTGTACTAGGAGAAACATCTATCCACATAGCCCAGGAGGAACCACCAGGAGAGGCCATCACAAAGGCCCTGCTGGCTTCTCACCCAGGCCCCTGGCGGCTGAACATCTTATCTGTCCGAGGCTAAGCGAGCCTGTTCCGACAGCCAGCTGAACAGTGAACTGTTAGTAGGGTTTCATCCAAAAATAACGACCGTTTTGACAGTTACCTTGCAGTCAAATTTCCAGGTGGTTTAGTTTCATTTGGATATACACTGTAAAATGAATGTGAGGCAGGTCTCCAAGCAGCCTGGGGACTTAGGGCCTCGTATCTCCAGAACGATGAGGTAAGTATGGATTTATATCCTTCATGCACTAGACCCACATTTGTTTGGGAAATGTCACAGTCCCATCCCAACCTTGCTTAGACCCTGGGTAAAAATTTCACAGAGATTGAAGAGCCTTGGCGGTCCGCAACTTCAGATAAACCTCAGGACTTCAGCAGAATCAGACAGAGCAGCCCTGGTCTCTGACGCCCGTGCCGATACCCACCAGGAAATAAGCTGCTCTGAGACAGGACTGGCTTGCTCACTTGGCCCAACGTCACACTCACTGCCTCTGATGGGGCTTAGTCTGAGAAGGCTGTTGACTTGAAACCTGTTGACTTAAAACTTGACTGGAAAAGAGGATGTGTGCATTTGTTGAGTGCTTCCCTGGTTCCAGACACCAGGCGAGTTATTGATGCGGTCTCACTTGTCTCTGGGGCAGCCTTATAACAAAGTGATTAAATAAGCTCTCTAAAGACAAGTCACCCACAAGTGGCATAAATGAGATTTGAAGCCAGGCTTATCTGATTCTTTACAAGTTAGGATTAGATCAACTTCATTTGCCAGAGTCCCTCAACAGAAGAGGGGCCTACACAGTAGAGGTCTGTTGCTGGCTATTCTCTTCCACAAGTCTGGAGTCAGCGGTCCAAAGCTGGTAGGGGTGACTCTACAGATTTGCTAGGGGCTCGGGCAACTTTTGGCTCCTTAGAGTGTGGTCTTCATCACTATGAAGGAGGGTGGCTGCTTGAGTTCCTTCCATCACTTTAATGTACCAAGCAGCAAGCATGGAGGAAGAGAAAAAGGGTATGGCTTCTCTCAGATTTTTTCTAGAAATCTCCCATAATATTTCTACTTACATCTCATTGGCCAGAACTTGGTCACATGACTACACCCACCTCCACCTGCAGAGGGAGAGCTAGGAACTGAGATGACTTAGCTGAGCAGCAATAATATGACCAGCTAAAAATTGGGGTCTTGTTGTGGAGCAGGAGAGAAAAATGAGTTGGAGGGGAGACTGGGTGGCTCAGTCAGTTAAACGTCTGCCTTCGGCTCAGGTCATGATCCCGGCCGGGGTCCTGGGATCGAGCCCCGCGTGGGGCTCCCTGCTCAGTGGGGAGTCCGCTTCTCTCTCTCCCTCTGCCTGACGCTCCCCCTGCTTGTGCTCTCTCTCTCTGTCAAATAAATAAATAAAATCTTAAAAAAAACAAAGAGTTAGAAAGGACGCTGGCACAGACTCCAAACATCGTATATATTTGTTCTCTTTGGTCAGTGAAACATCTTCTTTTAATGGTTCTTTATGGGTCATATGTCTGAAGCTCTGACTCAAATTAGAGGCCATTTCCAAAACCAGAAAATAAAGAGAGCCCCAAAAAGGGTATACATATAATTTTCCTATTATATGTATTTAACAGTTTCGGTTGCTTTGGTAAAGTTGTCTTTCCAGGATTTAAGCCCACTGTTACTCCTCTTAAAAATTTCCCCCAGAGACCCCTATCCTTCTTCGTGTTTAGTACTTGCCTTGACAGGGCCCAGGTTGTGTCCTAATAGTTGGAGCATTGCTCTCACACTCCCCAGCCTTTGAATTCCCAGGGCTACCAGCAGGTCTGCCAGAATGAGGGGGAGGAAGCCCACAAAGAAGGGGTGTCAAGCTACCTTGATTACTGGATTCTTAATGGGGGGAACTTCTTGTGGTGAGAACTTAGCGCACCTCGTGCTCAGTCATCAGGTAGTAAGGGGGTGTCGTCAGCCCCCTCCCAAGCAACACGTCCTGTGACTCGCCTGCTTTGCCCGCTCTACCTCCCGCCCTCTGATGTTAGTTTCTGCTGAGTAACTGTCAGCAACATTCGGGAATATGTGTATATTCTACCCTCCCCCCTTTCTTTAAAGTTTTATCTTCTATCAGAAGAGCTGGTAGACGGGGAAAAAGATGCATGCAGCAAGGAAGGGAAAGAACCCTTTACAGTTTTTATGCTACAGCCCTACATATACAGAAAATAGAGTCACAACTCTTTTGTTTCTTTAATGCAGAGCCTCTTAAAAAAAAAAACAAACCACTTAAAAATATATTGAACAAAATACTTTTTAAAAAATTTACTCAAAATGTCCCCCCAGAAATTTGAAACCATCCAGAGGCCACCACTAAAATGTTAGGATGCTCTCTTTCTGATTTAGTTTTCTGTTACATTTTTATTCTGCAATCAGAGGGAAATATTTTAAGTAAAAATTTCATACAAAATTGAGAATTACTGTCACAACATCATACAGTGGGGAAAGGGCAGTGGTGGCCTTGGTGTGCTAGTGCTGAGCTACCCATGGGACCCTGAGTGAGCAAGTCAATCTCTGGGTTTCAGGTCCTACCTGCAAATGGGGAATGGGAGATGTCAAGTACCCAGGGCCCTTTTCCCACTCAAACAACTATGATTATGACCCACAAGAGAATCTACAAAACTTATGTGGCCTCTGTGGTTTCTTAATTTGGAGTTCATGGAATGGTTCCAGAATGTGTCATCACCATAACTAGATAGAATACATGCATAAACCCCCAAATCTTTACTCTTCTCTAGGAGAAGGGCCCATCACCTGCATGGATTCTTAAGGGATTTGTGACCCAGGGAAGGTGAAGAACAACTGGTCTGTTCTCATTTTATGGACAGGCATCTTTCATCCAGGAAAGTGAAGAGATTTGCCCCAAATGCACATCCTGTGCATCTTCCTGGCAATCTGGAAGACCCAAAGGTGTTACCCGTTCCAAGCGGGGTCCTCTCCCTGGTAGGGTGATCCATCCTAGACCCTCTCTGTCATGTACTACTCTATGTGTCCCCTCATCTGGCCCAGTTTATGATATTAGCATGAAGTTTATAGCTTCCTCCGTCAGCTTTGCCTTCCTAATTCTCCCCCAAGTCCTTCAGGTAGTCCTTCCCCCCAGAAGTAGGAAGGAGATATAGGAGAGAGGAAGCATATCTGGGCTTAGAGTTGGGATCTTAGTTTCTACTCCTATATTTCTTAAGGAACATTTCATCTCTATATGTATTTTATCCTTCTTGCCAGAGGAGAGGTGGTAAAGCCTCTCACAAGACTTGACATAAAGTCCAACAGACCACAACGTCTGACGCTGAAGGAGAATCTGCAGATGGACAGTTCGGAGGCAGAGGCGGGTACCCAGCCGTCTAAGGAGGGAGTGAATTTGTGTCCCTCCCCGCCCTCCTGGAAGCAGAATGGCCTCAAAAAGATCGTACAGTGGGAACACTGTGGTATTTGTGCTGAGACTTCATCACACAAAACCGTGTATCTGAAACCCAAAGTGACCTTTTCCGAGCAGTCCTAGCCCTACATGAAAAGGCAAACACCGCCAAATTGCCTGACATTTCCGTTTTTAAATTTCAGGCATTCCTGATTTCAGATCGGCTGTTGATCTGTTGGTTGCAGCCCTGATGCAATTAAGCGAACTCATAGTCACTGCTGTTATAGTCTAACATAAACAACTGCTTTGAAAGCCCAGACCCTGCCCTGTATCTCCTCCTCCCCATCACACCCCAACAAGCCTACCAGCCCACATGCGGTTGCAGAAAAGCATTTTCTAAACCTGCAATTAAAATCTTCAAAGTTGAACTGTGGACCGTCATACCATGTCCATCTTTAAAGATCACGTTTATTTGATCACTCCTTATTTTAACCCCTCTTGGCAGAAGCTACTAAAAACGTATCGAGAGGGAGGGTCTGTTCTGATTCTAGTCACTCCCCCAAATGTAGTGTGGAATTTGGCTAGGGAATGGTCTGCACTCCCCCTGGAGCTGACAGTGAAGACAGATGAGAAGCAGTGACTCAGAGGGCAAAGAAGGTTGAAGGGTGCTGCTCTGGGACCTGGGTGTTGAGCTCCACCCATTGGCCTGAAAAAGCCACAAAAGGGACATGGCGTAGCTTTGGTGCTGCTGAAGCTCAGGGTTTAGGCTTGGAAGTTGAGCACGTTGAGATCCTGGAAGTGCAAGGTACGCCTTGTTAATGTGTTCAAGAACATTCCTTGTAGCTCCAGATAACCTGAGGGAGTTGGCTGGAGAAAGAGATCTGGAGGGATTCTTGGTGTGTCTTTTCCTAGCATCATTTATCAGAGTTCTGGTTCTGTTCCTGCGAGTCAGCCTGCTAGCCCAGAAGCAGCATCTGGGCAATCTAGTCTCTCTGGGGGACAATGAGGAAAGATGAGCTGGCAGGGAAATAAAGGACCAACTTTAAGGGGAGACCATCTGAAAAAAAAAATGAGCTCTCCCAGTTTTTCTTAATCCTCGGCCCCATGGTCTGTCTGTACACGTAGCAGGATGGGTGATAGAATTGCCCTATCCAACTTTCATATGTGCCAAAGGTCAAAGCTGATGTGGTTCTCCTCCTTCCTTGCTGCTCGGGTTGAGAATCCCACGGCCCCACACCTGCAGTTAATCTCATCCTTGCTGAGTAACTGAGGGAAAGCCCTTAGAGTGGGAGGCTTTGCTCTCTATCCTGATGTGACCACTGAAATTAGGTCCTGCTGCCCACATGTGAGTTTTCTCCCTGTGACCACATAACCCGGCTTGCCTGTCCAACACCTGATTTAATAGCACCCCTTGGAGATGAGGCTTTTTTTTGTTTTGTTTTAATATGATCACACTAATTACAGGGAAGGAACGAGTTTCTGACAAAGGATCTAACCTTGTGCTCCTTTCTTTCTGTCTCCACAGCTCCACTTGGCAGCCCTGGCATCACTCAAGGGAGATATAGTGGAACTTAATAAACGTCTGCAGCAAACGGAGCGGGAACGAGACCTTCTGGAAAAGAAATTAGCCAAGGCACAGGTAAGGGATCTGGAGAGTTTTTTTTTAAACTCTTGTATTTTTTTATTTTAAGATAAAACATAGATCGAGGAAATCCAGCCAATCAAGTTACGGGGTAATGAGCAAACATTCTTATAAGCACCGTCCAGGTCAGGAAATAGGACTTGCCAGCCATCCCAGAAGTCCCTCCTTATGTCCTGTCCCAGTCGCACCTTCCCTCCGACCAAGGTGACCACCACCATGACTCCTATAGTCCTTTTTCCTGTCTCTTTATACTTTATCACTGAAGTTTAGATGTCCCTCGATAGTGGAGTTTAGTCTTGCTCATTGAAACACTTTGGGTTTCTTTTGAATCTTTTAATTTATAGGTTTTGCTTCCATTCTTTGCTTGCTTTTAATTAATCTGTTAGAAACCTGCCCTTTGACCTGTGGAGTTCCCTACAGTCTGGATGTTGCTGATTATACACTCGCCGTACAGCTCACCACATTCCTCCGTCCCCTTTAGTTCCTGTGAAACGGCAGGTGGACCCAGAGGCTCAGTCAATTCATGTCTGGCCCCTTTGGCAAGACTGTAGAGAGGATTTGTTGTTTTACCAGGAGGCACATAATGTCTGGTTGTCTCATTTTCTGTGATGTTAGCAGCTGTTGATACTCCGTGCCTATGTTCATTGACTCACTGAATTATTAGGACTTACAAATGATGATATTTCCGTTGTACCATTTCTCATTAATTGGAATGCTTTTATAGAGACCTCTCCCATCATCTGTGATTTGTTGAAACAGTGGTTCGTCGAGGAAAAGCAGAATTCTTCATCTATTAACATTTTTCAAGAAAATTACCTATGATCCTCTGAAATTGCCCAATAATTTTTTAAACTATTATTATGAAATTATAGATTTAAACATATTTGGGGTTTCATTCCACTGTAACTATTTTCCTTACAGAAACCCGTATTATCTTTGGCCAATGTGAACTTCTTCAGGTTGGCTTCTGAGTCTTTTGACATGAGCCCAGGAGTTAGTCCAGACTCAACTAGTACATTTTTTGCCCCAAATCTGGTAGTAAGTGTTCTCTGAGTAACTCTTACTTCTCTCAGCAGAAAATAGTATCTTAAGACCACAATCTGGGTGCTAAGAGTGCTTATGGCTTCTAGGTTGGTCATTTTTTTTCAGGCCTCTTTTATAGACATAGCCAGGAAATTCTTTATTTCCTTATTTATCTACATCTGCATGTACATATAACTTTTAAGATAAAATACCTTAGGAGTTCATACTAATAGACCCGATTTAAATTCAGACTACAGCATACTTTTTACCTAGCTTCTTCTATGTTTTATCTGTATCGCCTTTCTTTCACATGAAGAGTCCTGGTTCTTAATGCTACAGAGGATGATTAAATTAGAATATTCCATAATTACTTACTTGCTTCATTCCATATTATGAACAGCCTCAGAATAATATTACTCCTGCCATAACAGATACGGTTCCTGAGAAGAATGTAATTTGTTGTTGTTGTTGCATTACGCTCTCTTCACTCCCCATTTTTTGCAGCTGTCTTATATCTACCTGCCTGACCATCTGGCCGTTGCATCTCACCCTCTCCCCTTCTTGTCCTCCTTTAGGCTCCTATAAGCAACGTTATAGTTAGTGTTCACCATGGTCCTTATGTCCGTGTTCCTCCGTTTATTTGTTCGTTTATTGCCTGAAGTGGATTTTCTAGTATATTCCTCAGGGAGGACTCAGAATAATCTTCACCAGGTTCTTGCTCGTTATTAACAGTATGTCTGTTCTTTGCCCTTTGTACTTGAAAGACATTTCTGCTGGATAGAAAGCCCTTGGCCCATCTTTTCTTTATTTGAATATGTTTCCTTATTCTCTTTTGGCAGAGAGTGTTGTCCCCAAAGTCTGATAACACAGCTTTCTTTGCCTCACAGGACATTGACTCTAGATGTCCATAGCATGTTTTTTCTTTATTTCTTTTTTTTAAGTCTAGTAATTCTAGAGCAACTTTTTTTTTTTTTTTTAAGTTTTTATTTTTAAGTAATTTCTACACCCAGCATGGGGCTGAAACTCACAACCCCGAGATCAAGAGTCGCACGCTCCACCGACTGAGCCAGCTGGCCGCCCCTACTAGAGTAACTCTTAATCTTAGTCATTCTGGTTTGATATTCTCAGGTTTGCCGTGTATTCTTTTGATTATCTCTTTTAATCTTTTAATTTCAGGGAAGTTGTAAAGAATTACAGTGTTTAATATTAGTTCTCTCGCTTTGATTTTTTTCAAGGATGTTTATTATTTGTATGTTAGATCTTTTTTGCCTATTTTCAGGATCTCACTATCCACATCCTGTCTCTCCCTTTTTACTTGATTTTCCTATTGTTCATCTTCTGTTTCTTTCAGGGCATTATATGTTGTGTTTATTTCTTCTCGTGTGCCTTCTAGTTTAGTTTGTATTCCTGAAATGCGTTTTTATTTTATTTCTAGTTTTTTCCTGTGTTCTGTTACCGTATGAATTTTCTAATTCTCAGTTATGTTTTTTCATGTCTTATGTCATTTTATCTCCTTAAAGTCTTTTAACTTATTTTGAAATAGTGGGCTTTGTTTGGGCTTTTTGGGGGGAGGGATGTCCCATTTTGTGCCATGCTTTAATGGTATATAGGCATATATTCTGCTCTTTTTTTCTTCCTTCTTATAACTTTGTATGGAATTTGATGTCAGTACTTCTCCATTTTTCATTTTTATATGAAAAATAGTTTCCTTGAACTTTGAGGAGGCAGTGTTTAAGATGGCTTTATAAGTTCATAAAGCTTAGTCTTCTGTTGTTTTCACTTAGTCAAAAATATGGCATCCTGCTTTCTAACACTTCCTGGCTCTGTTCCCCTCACCTACTTCTATCTGGATCTATTTCTTCCTTTGTCTCTGTTACTCCATACTGTTCAATCCTGATCCCACTGTCAGCAGGTTTTCCTCCTGGAAGCAAGTCCTGGGGCCAATCTTGAGAGTTCCCAGGTACTAGCTGCTTTAGCTCTTTCAGATCTTACTGTGGGCCCCTTCCTCATTTACTCTTGGCTCAGGTAGAATCCCTTTTAGTGTTAGCCTCTCTTTTCCAATTGGCCCTCCTCACTTTCCTGAGTATACGGACTTTTTTTTTTTTTTTTTAAAGAAGAGATGGAGGTAGTTTTTTTTTTTAAAGATTTTATTTATCCATTTGACAGAGAGAGAGACAGCGAGAGCAGGAACACAAGCAGGAGGGGGAGTGGGAGAGGGAGAAGCAGGCCTCCCGCCAAGCAGGGAGCCCGATGCGGGACTCGATCCCAGGACCCTGGGATCATGACCCTAGCCGAAGGCAGACGCTCAACGACTGAGCCACTGAGGCGCCCTATACTGACTGTTTATGTTGGGGTTTTCCAGCTCTCACATCCACCAGCCTTGCTGCTTCCCACTGCTTCTGCCCATTCAGATACCCTTTCGGGCTTGTGGATGGTGTGGGTTTGTCCTTACTTGCTTGTATTTTGCTGTTCAAGAGGATACCTTGTCTCCAAGCATTTGGTTCTGTTGAGTAAGGTGCTCTGTTTTTATGTGGGAATTCAGAGAGCTCTAAAAACCAGGCTGCCATAGTCCTTGGTGTAGATGACCTGTGGAAAGTTTTGAAAACTCATGTCTCGTAATCGTAGATTGTTTGAGTAGGGAGGAGAGACCCTTTATACTTGAGATCATCTACTTCCACATTTGTCAGGCATCCCAGAGAGGTTAACTTGCTTACCCAAAGTCAAATGAGTAGCTTAGCACCAGAGCCAAGACAAGGTCCCAGTGTTCTTTCCTCACATAGGATGTTGTACAGACAAAAACTTTCAGTTTTTACTTGGATGAAAACTTACAATATTTTCCTTCTGATTATAAAAGTAATAAAAATGTGGTAGGAAAAGCTGGAAAGATAACAATATGATGTTTCAGTAGTGGGGTCTGGTGTATTAAAACATTTTTAATGCCTTTTTTTGTTTTGTTTCATAAGGGTTTTTGTTTTTTTTTTTAAGATTTCATTTATTTATTTGAGAGAGAGAGACATAGAGCATGAGCAGGAAGGAGAGGGAGAAGGGAGAAGCAGGCTCCCCACTGAGCAGGGAGCACAATGCGGGGCTTGATCCTGGAACCCTGGGATCATGACCTGAGCCGAAGTTGGACGCTTAACTCACTGAGCCACCCAGGCGCCCCTGTGAGACTTTATTTAAAAGGAAAGAAATTGTGAAAGCTCTTAACTGGAAGTTGGCATGTACTGTAGTCTTGGATTTTTAAAAATGACCAGGAGGGTATTTATTAAAATTTAAGCCTACAAAGACAGAGCAACTTATGCAGAGGATGGTAGAGGATAATAGAAAACTTTTTCTGTGCTGTGTCAAGGAATGAGTCAGTTCCCTTTTAACTTATGGTCAAGACATTCTTATGTAATAATTTTTGGTGGGTCTTTACATCATGTTTGCATTCTTACACTAAATATACTTAAAAATTACTCTCTGTTCCTTTCAATGGAGAGGTCTTTCCAGTGCAGATACTGGGACCCAGGAAAGAGAACATAAAAAAAAAAAAGGTCAGACTCACCAGTCTCATACCTTTTATAAAGATGAGATTTATGCAAGAAAAAATGAGAACAATGAAATGACAGTGCTATTGCTTCCTGTGTGAGTGATTCATGTTTGAGGCTTGACCAGATTGTGGAAGAGCAAGTTCATGCATAAATTTATGCTCTCTGGCTTTACTAAGTTTTACCAGCTCTCTAAATGTTACAGAGCTATGATTAAGCTAAAATGTAAATGGTGGCTGTATTCATCAGAAATAATCAAAAAGAGCTTCAACATCTGTTGAGTGATTCTTGATGGTGACACTGGAACTAGCTGAATAAAAAAAGGTTCAATATACATGGTCATAAGGTCAACCTGCCAGTAGAGTTTTGAGAATAGTGATGAGAAGGGAAAAGTTGAGTAAAGGAGACTAGATCAGCATGATGGGGAAGGTAAAGTGCTTCTGT